TATTTTTATTTAAACTGTCTTTTGTCTTTTATTTTATATTTTTATTTAAACTGTCTTGTCTTTTATTTTTTTAAATCGTTAAAATTTAATATTTTTATTGGTTCATCATTTAATGAATGAAATTACTAAATCAAGTAAATCATTAAAAAAATCTTACAAATAAAATTTATTGGTTCATTAAATTTACTAAATTGGGTATATTAAAAAAAATCTTTTAATGAAATTCTAAATTTGAAATTCAAATCGAAATTCTTATCTAGAACCAATCAAAATTAATATTAAAAAAAAATAATTACATTTTTAATTTATTATACATAAATAAATCTGCATTAAACAATAGAAGAAAAAATGATATTCTCAGAATTCTCTCAACGACTTAAAAACTTTCTTAACAAGTAAATATTTTCTAATTTTAATTTATTATATTAAGTTTATAATTATACAAAACCAATTAGTGAAAATATTTCTTATGGATATTAATGAAATAATATTTGTTTTTTTTTTTTAAATTTATTCTCTTTATTCAATATAATAATATTAACAAAATAAATAAAAAAATTATTTTACTTAAACAATTTCTGTAAATCAAATGAATAACCATTCTTAAATTTAATATTTGTTTTGCCAATGAATTAAAATTAAATTTTTGATTTGTTTCTTACATTGATTTGGTGTTCCTGAATCGTTGATTCAGTTACGGTTCTAGCCTCACACCAAATCGTAGTAAGAAACGTATCAAAAAAAAAAGTTGAGACTGATTATATATACTTCTTTCTCTCCCTCCCTCTTTATGTGTATAAAAAAAAAAAAGGAATTTCAAAGCCTCAATGCTTATAATAAGCAATCACTATCGTGATTGCTTCTAAATGCGATCTCATTTTCAAAATTCTTTTTATATTATTTTTTATTAAAATATTCTATAATATATTTGATATTAGTTTCTAATTTGGGAATTTCTGCAACTGCTTCTCTCAACGAACCAAGTTTGGCTAATCTATCAGCTTGTTCGTTACCATAATTTCCTAAATAACCTCTAACATGAATTAATTGAACTGTTCCTATCCTATTATTAATAAGTTTTTTTAACCTTTTGATTAAATCTTAGTTTTTGATAGGTTTATTATTATAACTCATATATCCATTTTTTCCCCATTTTTCGACCCAATCTTCAATTATACTAATTACATATTTACTATCTGTCATTATTTCTAAAGGTTTTGTTTTATTTTCACAAATTT